ACAACATTTTCAGGTCAGCATTGGCGCAGCAAGGGGGAGGGATAAGATATCACCCCCGTCTCTTACCCTGGGGCCCACCGTCGATTCGAACCGTAACTTTATGCAGCCTGACAACAGTTTATTAAAAAAAAAACATTTTGCCAGGTTTCGAAAGGTCCGTCATAGGACTGAAAAACAATTTTCAGGCCTGATAGCCCCTTCCCCCTTCAGGATTTATAGTCCCATCCCATTATATGTTTATGAGGGTACATCCAAGGCCCAAAAGAACCAATCCAAGGCCTAGGAAAGCCCGTTTCAGGGCATAAGAGGGCAGGGCCCATTTCAGGCCTGAGAGGGCCCATTTCAGGCCTGAGGCCTGAGGGGGCCATTTCAAGCTTGAGAGGGCCCATTTCAGGTCCTAGAAGACCTGTTTGAGGCCTGAGAGACCCAATTCAGGTCTGAGAGGGGGCCCAGTTCAGGCCTGAGAAGGCTCACCCCAGGCATGAGAGTCATGATCCTTTGTGATCCTATAGAGGCATTGCACGTCAAATCGCACACCGAAATCCGTCAACTCCTCCAATTTTTCTGAAAATTTGTAGGTTGAGGAGTGGAGATGGTTCAAAACTAACTTAATGCGTTCAGTGTAGAGATGTCAATCGGATAACAACTTTTTGGTATACCGATACCAAACCGATACCAACTTGGTATTTGGTATTTCAATCGTAATGTATTTGGTATTCTGCTGAGTGCTGGTATCATAAGCCCTCACTAATGTATAAGAGGCTAAGAAATCGGTTAAAAGATGGTATTTCCCCCAGTTTCCCAAGTTGCTTTGGTTTCGGTATTTTCTCGTGGTTTTGGTTGATATTTGGTTTGGTATCGGTATTCCGATTTTCCGTAATTGACATCACTAGTTCAGTGCTTGCCGAATGTAAGGCATTTGAATCGTTAAATCGTTTTTGAATGACCTCCTTACAAAATTATACTTTTCATTCATGTATTTTTTGTGTAAAAATGGGTAATGAATGAAATACATGAAAATATCAAATACATAGGAACAAAAAACACATGAATGAAAACTATCATTTAGCAAGGAGGTCATTCAAAAACAGATAAACAAAACTAACTTACGTAAAGTATTTTCGAAATTCGATAACATATCCCTAAGATAGGTATAGGGCATCGAATATAGTTAAAAATGAGATGCATCGATTTTTAAATGGCTATCACTCTAGTTATAGTTCTGGTAGTGGTAACGGAATGAAATTTACTTGGTCTTGTAGGAAATTAATTTTACTTCGAATTTTAGTGACCCAATTTGACTGCAGTCTTTGACCAGATCAATACGATAAAGACCAGATCGCTTTCATTTGAACAGTATTTTTTATCAGTGTACATGTGAACGCCCTTAGAAACGAAGCAAAGTTGAATTGAGAGGCAATTTAACCCGCGCCCCACTGGGGGGGGGGGGCTATTTATAGCCCCCCCCTCCCGTTTTTCTGCAATAACTTCCAAACCGCTTGACGTATCAACGCCAAACTTTCGTACCTTCGGCTGCATCAATTTGACACCTTGTGTCAAAATTTGAACTTCGTACCTACCATAGGTCGGCCGTAAATGACGTCAGAGTGACGTCATGTTCGGCCGATTTCGACGCAAAACATTGAACCGCGGCAATCGCTCCCAAGAGCTCAGTTTTTAAGCTAGATCCAATTTCTTTGCATGGGAGGACTCAGAATGGACTGCGCTATCAAACTGCTATCTCGGATTTTCAAAATTTTGAAAATTTCGAAAATTTCATATAATAAAACTCAAAATTTATATTTTTACATTTTTTTTTCGAAAATGTTTTGACTTTTCGAAAAAAACCGGAATATATGTTATAGAACGCATTATTATGACTAACTCTAGCAAGTTTTAACTAAATATCTTCAAAAATGGCCAAGTTATACGCATTATTGCAAAAAATTAACAATTATTAATTTTTCAAATCAATTTTTCAGCATGAATTTGACATCGTACGCCAATATAAATAGCACCATCGTGTTCCTGAGCTCAAACTGCATCCAATAGATACCCTTTTTGTTGAAAAATTTTAACTTCAAAATTTGACCTTTTTTGACCTGAAAGTGACCTGACCTAAGCTAAATTTGACTCAAAATGACCTCGAATGACACAGACGACATCAAATTCGAAATCTCTGACCTAAATGGACCATAAAACATGTGTTACGTGACCGATGGATGATATAATATTTTCGTGACCTGTGATGACCTGACCTTGACCTGAAAATCAAAGTACAAGTTTGGTACCCTCAGAGTATCTAGAGCATCTGTTCACGAGTGTGTGAACCAAAAATGAGCCTGATCTGACTTGTAAGTCGGCGGCCAGAGCCCAAAACGTGAACAAGCCAAAATGCTAATAATTTTTACTTTGACCTGACCTGTGACGTCATCGGTGACCTCGAGGTCAATGAAATTAGGTTTCGCTCGACAGTTTTTCCGGGGCTATCAGACCCCGTTTGAATTTTGACGATCGGCCCAGTAGTTTCGGAGTTAGGAGGGGGGGGGGGCTATGAATAGCCCCCCCCCCCCCCAGTAGGGCGTGTTATACGCAGACCCCAGTGGGGCGCGGGTTAACACCAATCATTTTGGTATAGGACGAATCTTTCTTATAAATATAGTAAATATAGTCTTATAGTTGCGTCGGCGCCGGCATAGGAAAAGCATTAGCATTAGAAAAGCATTACTTTGCCTCGGTCTCCCCTATTTATATAGTTCATGATAACCCTCGCCCTACCATGGGGTTCCCGGATTTCCACGCCCTGTTGCTGGGGGAGGAGGTGTTCAAACACGCATCCTTTACTAACTCGGTACCTGGGCCACGCTAGCCACGTAGAGTAGGTATACGTCACGTTTGAGCTTGTGATGTGTTTATCAATTATTCTGGGTCATTTTTGCTGTTGGTTAGGTTCTTTCGGTCGGATGGGATCATCGGAGGCCACCGTGGTGCACTGGCACTGGCGCGGTTATCACGAGAGACAAATCACCCAGCTGTGCTAATGGCCGATAGTCACTCCACTGCACGTGAATTGTGAGCCATGCCTGATCACCCTGATGCCAGTCTCGGGTCTCCTCAGTTCTCACGTCGGATCAATTATATACAACCAGCCCGGGATAGGGGTTTCTACTTTCTAAGTTTGTGGTCTTGAGAAAAAGGATGTATGCACTCCATGAGCGTGGGTAAGAGGAATATAAAAATAAAAAGTAATTGAAGCCATATGAAGTAACGATCTTGCACATTGCAACCGCACACTACATAAACTGGGCAACGCCGGAACACCGAACACAGTGTAGTCACGCTGGACTCCAGCTCACATCTGGCTAGCCGGCCTAGGTAGCGCTACAATCGGCGATACCGCAGTTCAGAGGGCGCTCGGAGCGCGGCTGTGCCCTGTGCCGTTCACAATGCCGCACACTGTCTCCAAGCGATCTGGAAGGCCGTCTGTCGTCTCGAGCCTCAGCTGCTCGTTTTTTTTATAGGTGAGTAGTTATTGGCTGTTCATTTCATCTCCTCTCCTCACTGTCATCAGAACCAGCCCATTTCTATCCATCAATGGATCACAATTCCATCATTGGAACAAGGCTGATCAATAAAGCCGAAATATTTGGTTATAATATTTAGTTTTCCTCAGCGAAGCCCGTTTTGAAAACAATCAACTTTTTAGAGATTTATTAACCTGAGGAAAAGAATAATGACGCTTCGGCAACAAACTTTTTTCGTTATGACCTTAAAAAAAGAATATTCTCTTGAAAGTGAAACAGTGTTTGTTTTATATTTATTTACATTTTACTAGCATGACTGCATTTTGTTTCTACATTTAATTCACGCTGACTAGCATCATTATCTTTGAAGCATCACTAACATCATCATTCACGTACTGGTTTATCTCACTAATGGTAACTAATGGTTTATCTGGACAAGACACAATAAAGACGGCAACTCACTCGTTCATCGATGCGATTGATTGCCATATTTCAGTAATACGTCGTTCAGTAAGTCTGAATGTGAGCATGTGACTTTCAAAGCCCTTGCCAAACCAGTCAGATTCCTCGAGAGGATTGCATATTACGCGAAACAAATTTAATCTTATAACAGTCAAGTTTGAGGTAAGTGCTATGAGAACAATTGAATGCCGACAAGATGCAGCACACATATAAATTGTACTGCCTCGAACAATTTGTTTTCGCTTACAATATTTAGTTACAGCCGCAATGATAAAGAATGCATTGAGAAATGAGACCACCAATACCTAATCATCAGCGGTTATCGATAACAACATTGCTGTGACAAGACTACGTGAGTATCGATCACGTAAGGACTAGCATCAGTATCATAATACACTCACACGGACATTATTATGCGCATACACTTACACCAAATATCAGCAAATGTGACTTCTCTACTGTTTGTCACGACAAGATGACTTCTATCAATAGCTCTAACATTAACTGAAGGATTTAAGCATCAGTTGTTACTCCCTCCATCGCATGCAGTGCATTGTTACTCCTTAGGTACGCATATTGCGTATCATATCGCGAGAGACGAACTGCATGCATTTGTCAACAGCATAGCGGAGCGGAACTCGGTGGTTTAACCTATGACGGCATAGCTAACTTTACGAAAAAGACGACACAAATGACACCATGTGTACTTCAATCAGCTTTATCCGAGAGAATCTAGCCAATCGCCTCACTATCACAACTTCAGACAAATCAATTACGAATACTCCCTTAGTGATATATGTTTGAGCACTTTTTACACATTTGCAAGTTTACATGTCTCCTTGAATAGTTTGTTCTGCAAAACCCTACTGACCTATCACTGATTGTAGGTACCTACTGCCAAGCCTTTTCTGTTGTAGTGTTCTCACTTCTCGGCTCTGAAGTCTATTTGTATGACCTGTGCTGGCCCACCAGGGCTCAGAGGGGGTGAATTTTCACCCATCCTCCCCACTCCCCTCACTCCTGTACGGCGTCCTCCCGCTCAGTCCTCACCACCCGTCTTCCCTCCTGCTCCTCCTCCTCCTCCTCTGGCCGTTCCTCCCGGGTGTCCCTGAGCAGCTCCTCGATGGAGTAGGCGCAGCGCCGTTTGGCCGGCACGGCCGCCGCCGCGCCGGAGTCCGTCCCAGTCGAGGCCGGCCCGGTACCCACCAGAGCCGCTGAGGCAGCCGCCGCCGCAGCAGCAGCAGCGGCAGCCGACTGGTTCAGCGTGGCCACGTAGGTGTAGTAGCACCGCGAGGCCAGCTGGTAGTAGGCGGCCGGGTGCAGGGAGGGTCCCAGCGGTCCACCGGCGGGCTCTAGGGGTGAGCCGAGACCGCCGGCGGATGACGGGGCGGCCCACAGAGACGGTATCGGGGACTCTGAGTACCCGCTGGGTCCTGCCGGGAGCGGGGAAGGTTAGCGAGCTGAGGAATTAGGACACGGCGAAACGATCCAAAGCAACAGTTAGTTAAGGATATGTACCAGTAAAACGCCTTTTGGGCGAAGAACGAGCGAGCGAGATAGTGAGCCCTGCACGTGCGGAAGGGCGAGAGGGTGCTTCCGACGGGCTTGTGCAAAGCACCCTTCTAACCGGTCGCTAGCGGTGTGCCAAATTTGAACGCAATCGGCCCAGCCGTTCCTGAGATCTGGAAGCGGCATTCTGCACGTGCGCACGTGCAAACGGGGTCCAAAATGACTTTTGCACGGCACCCTACTAACTGGTCCCCAACCGTGTACCAAATTTGAGCGCAATCAGCCCAGCCATTCTCGAGATCTGGAAACGCCCCCTGCACGTGCGCACGTGCAGTAGCACCCTAACCGCAACACATGGAAATGCATTGCCTGGTGGGTGCCTACCTGTATGCCAAGTTTCAGCGAAATCGCCCCAGTAATTACCGAGTTACTGAAATGGGAACAAATTTGGCACCTCTTATTGTTGTATTTTGCACGTGCACTGGGGGTGACCCACATACATCGAGAGTATCTTATTTTGGGTAGAAGGGATGCTGCTACCCTACAAAAATTACCGCAAGTCAATCGCCCAAGCGGCTGCTGAGATATGAGCCTCTCAAAATCACTACTTTTGCAAAACAGCTTGAACACCCTTGACTTTTCACGTGGCACGTGCCACGACGGTCACTGAGATGTATCAAAAGTAGTCAATTACGGGGTAGAAGGGATGGGGCTACCCAACAAAAAAGACCGCAGGCCAATCGTTCCAGCGGTTGCTGAGATATAAGCCTCTCAAAAGCGTTACAGGCCGGGCCGGGCCGGGCCGCTCAGAGATTTTTCAGAGATTTTTTAGAGAGAAAAATCTCAGAACAGAGATTTTTCCGTTATATTGAAAAGGCTCACTTCGCTCGCTGCGCTCGCTCGCTCGTAATAAACGTGTTCAACCCATCGACAAGAGAGCTTCATGCTTGGTGTACGCTATGTCCAAAAAATATTGCACATAGTTTGGTTTGTCAGTATTCGTATTTACATTATATCATACGTCGTGACTTCGGGTTGATTTTTCCGTCCTTCATTCCCATTTCGAAGATATGAACATGAACATTCCGACGATCGATTTATTTGATGCTCTGAGGAACAGTGAGAGTTCAAACACTGTTAACCCCATAACTTACAGCGTACCTCAATTAAACATCAAATGACCCTATTCCTTATCATAACGAAGTACAAACAGGGGCGCCAATTAGCGCCCCATTTAGCTGCCCGGCTGCGTTGGCCGATGTCCGCCGTGGCCGATGGTCCGGTGCACTGTTGTTTCACGCGGCGTGCCACCGTCGGTCGCTCCGCTGGCGGCCGGCAGGTGGTTGCCGCCGCGGTTATAGGTCGTTTACCATACAAAGGAGCGCCGCCGGAGCCCGTGAATAATGTATCCGTCACCAAACCAGGTGAGAAGTGCGACCGATGCCACGCGGACCGCTTCAACTATTCATACGGAGGGCAGGTGCGACCTCAGAAAATCACCGCGGCTCCCGCTGATAGCGCGGCGAGGCGGTCCACTCCGACCGGCCACGCCGGGGTTCAAAGGAGGCACGGTCGGCTGACACGGCAGGTGGATCCGAGTACCGCCCTACTTTGCCCCGTGACACCAGCCGAGGAGCTGGTCTGTGAACTGCGGCCTCTGACACTGAGCTGTGACCCTAGCTGACCTTAGGTCGTTTTTAAAGTGCAAATTCTTTTAGTGTTTCATGACATCTTCACTACCTCAGCGGTCACCCACTTGACTCGTATTAGCTCCACTATGACGTCCCTACTCTGTTATGACGTCACTTACCTGGCTCGGCGGCCGGCTCCGGCTGACCGGGACCTGGCGTCCAGACGCCGCTGTTCCTCAGGATACGGTTGATGCTGGAGACGGACGGGATGCTGCTCGGGTTGCAGACCCGCTGGCTGAGCAGCTGGTCACGGATCTCCCAGGCGAACACGCCAGGGTTCTCCTGCTTCATACGCAGGATTTTCTTCACCACCGTCGGAGTGGCCACTTGCTGCGAACGAGCGGCGACAATCAACGGCGCCAGCACGCCATAGTGCAAGGTGTCACGGCAGGGCTGTTGCAGCCTTAAGTCATCTCCTCATTAATCTAAGAATACAAAATACCATACTAATTGGATATTCGAATGACCAAAGCTATAACATCTGACTATCTTATTTTGATCTGCTTTTTTAAGATAAAACTTGGGTGGAACGGTTGAATGAAAGTATTGCCAGAGCCAGAACGACTCGGCCGGCCTTAGCCCACTACCGGACCTCGGCCCGCCGTTTGGCCTTACTGCCGAATCTCGGCCTAGCTAAGCCTCACTATTATGTAGATCTCGGTCTACATTGGCCCTACAGCCGGACCTCGGCCTACCTTAGCCTCACGACCATGCAAACTTCGGCCTTTGTTAGTTTGGCTACTAAGCAGACCTCGGCCTACCTTGGCCTTGCTGCCTCCGATGGCGCCCGGCTTGATGCTGCCCGTCTCGTAGAACCGGGTGAGGATCTTTGAGACGCAGCCGTGGCTGACGAGCAGCTGTCGGGAGATGTCGCACGGCCGAACGCCGAGCAACGCCAGCTCGACAATCCGCCGGCGCACGTACTCGGGCAGCGGGCGGCCGTTGACGAACACGCCGCCCAGCTGATTCACACCGGCCTGACCTGAAAGGGAGGACACGGCAGGTCACGGCAGGTCGCGGACACGCCGCCCAGCTGATTCACACCGGCCTGACCTGCAAGGGAGGTCACGGCAGGTCAGGTCACGAACACACCACCCATCTGGTTCACACCTGCCTGATCTGCGGGGAGGTCACAGCAGGTCACGGCAGGTCACGGCAGGTCACGGACACGCCGCCCAGGTGGTTTACACCGGCCTGACCTGCAAGGGAGGTCAAGGCAGGTCAGGTAACGTCACGAACACACCGCCCAGCTGGTTCACAGCGGCCTGACCTGCGGGAGGTCACGGCAGATCAGGTCAGGTCAGGTACTGAATTTAACCCGCGCATGACTGGTGGGGGGGGGGGGGGCTCTACAGAGCCTCCTCCCGTTTCTCGACAATATCTTCCAAACCATTGACATATCGGCACGAAACTTGCAGTAACTTCACCGGCATCAATTTGACAACTTGTGTCTAAAGTTCAAATTTATAGCTAGCGGAGGTCGGCCGAAAATGACGTCAGAGTGACGTCATGTCGGCCGATTTTGAAGCATAATTAAAATTGAACTATGTACGGCAATCGCTCTCAAGAAGTCCAGAGCTCAATCTTTAAGCTAGATTTTTTGTTTGCATGAGTGGACTGAGAATAGACGTTGCTTTCAAACTGCTCTCTCGGATTTTCCAAATTTGGAACATTTGGAAAAATATACATATACAATAACAAAAATATATATTTTTTTTTAAAGTTTTTACCTTTTCGAAAAACCAGAATATGTTAAAAGCACGCTCACCGTTGACCTAATCTAGAAAGACAGCCTGATATCTTCAAAAATGGCCAAGTTATACGTATCATAGTCAACATTTCACAATTATAGATTTTTCAAATCCAATGTTTGGTGCGATTCCGACGTCGTACAGCAATATAAATAGCACGCACCATCGTGTTCCTGAGCTCAAACTGCATCTGATAGACACCTTTTTAGCTGAAAAAAAAAAATAAATTTTAAATTTTAAATTTTAAAAATTTGACATTTTTTACCTGAAGTGACCTGACCTCAGCTAAATTCAGCTGAAAATGACCTAAAATGACACAGACGCCACTGTTTACGAAATTTGTGGCTGAAATAAACCATAAAACATGTGTCACGTGACCGATACCTATATGATATACCTAGCATTTCCGTGACCTAGGATGACCTGGCCTTGAGCTGAAAAATTCGAATTACAAGTTCAGTAATCACAGGGTTGCGTAAGCATATATCAACGAGTGGGTAACTCAAAAACGGGCCTGATCGGACTTAAAAGCCGGCGGCCAGAGCCCAAATTGTGAACAAGCCAAAATGTTGATGATTTTTAATTTGACCTGACCTGTGACGTAATAGGTGACCTCGAGGTCAATGAAATTTGGATTTGCTCGAAAGTTTGTCCAGGGCTATTAGCTGCCGTTTGAATTTTGACAATCGGCCTTGTAGTTTCGGAGATAGAAGGGGGCTTTGTAGAGTCCCCCCCCGCCAACCACGTTATGGAAAATACCCTAGTCATGCGTGGTTTAAGTTGACCTTTCCAGGTCAACGTCTCATTGACGCGTCTCAACGAGAGACGATACCGGTATAGTCAACGTAATAAAGCTTATTGTCAAAAGCACCTAACAGCGTAAAAACGTTTTCGGCAAAACACGTCAAATTTTGAGTTTTTGACATCTTGTCTGGACTTGGAGGCTAAACCGTTAATCCTTAGTTGAATTTGAATTATGATAACATTATTCGGAAACAGCTTTGAACTGAACCATGGATGAGATAGATAACACTGTTATTATCTCATCCATGACTGAACTATCGAATGCGCGTTACTACGGCCCCGTAGCTTTATTCGTCCCCGAGGTCGCCGATTCGAAAACAATAGTCAACTAGTTGGGAATATTGTTCGTGACAGTTTTACTTTTGGTGACCTCCAGTGACCTCAATGGTGACCTGATAAAAAATGGCCATGATTCTGTAAGACATTAGAGCCAGGTATCTGGAATATACAGCCGTTTTCAAGACGGGCTATCCGGCGAGTGCACCTAATTTGACCAAATCTGCACCTCAGGGGCGTAGGCAGGGGGGGGCACTGGGCCATGCCCCCCCTTGGGCGCCGAAGGCGCCCTTTGCGATTGGAGGGCGCCGAAGGCGCCCTCCAATCGCAAATGCAATTGTGATAAAATGGAATAAAAAAAAAAACAATCGCGACTGGAGGGCGCCCCAATCGCGAATGTATTTACAGGGAAAATACGGTTGGAGGGCGCCCTCCAACCGCGTCCGCATTTGTAGGCTGTAGCTGTCTAAGCGTAGCGGTAGTCGCCTATGTAAGCCTGTTGATCGCTACCCTCCTGCCCACTCTGGCGCCCTCATTTGATCGGCGTAGTTTTACCTATTGGCGCTCTCCTAGTAAATAGGCGCCCTCTCACCCGAAGGTGCACCCTCCTGTAGGTCACCACCTTTCTACACATTTCTACCCTTCTGCTGGTCGGCGCCCTACTAATTATTGGTGCCCTCCTACCTATTGCGCCTCATGTGAAATTTTTATGGCCGTCCTCTTCCCTTTGGCACCATCTTGTTGATTGCCGCCCTCCTAGCCATTGGCGCCCTCCTACCTATTGGTTCCCCAGTCCCTCCTGTTGAATGTTAATCGGGGCCGCCCTCCTAACCACTGGCACCTTCCTGTTGATCGGCGCCCTTCTCACAGGCGCCCTCCTGTTCATTGTCACCCTCTTGGGCAAAGGCGCCCTCCTCACCATTGCCACACTCCTGTTAATCGTCACCCTTCTACTCATTGGCGAGTTCCTGTTAATGACCGCCCTCCTACCTATCGGCGATCTGCTGTTTATCGCCACCTTCCTATCTATTGGTGCTCTCCTGTTCCTTGCCGCCCTCTTACCTGGTGGCACCCTCCCGTTGATTGTTGATCAAAGTCCTCCTACCTGTCCTATTGGCGCCCTCCTGTTGATCGCCGCCCTTCTATCCATTGGCGCCCTCCTGCTGCTCGCCACTCTCCTACCTATCGGTGCCCTCCTGTCGAAACTCGGGATGTTGATCGGGGCTCTCCTTTGCCTATTAGCGCCCTCCTGTCGATCGCAGCCCTTCTACCTATTGGCGACCTCCGTTGATCGCTGCCCTCCTATCATTTATCTACTCCTTTGGCATGTTTCCCAACTTAGCCGTTCTCTTGCACATATTTGATGTCTTGCCTGTGGAAATTGCCACAAATGAACGTGCATTCAGGCTCAGCACAATGAATGAAGCATACCAAAACTATCTACGCTCTACCATGCATAAAAACGTCTTTGGTCTTAACCCTATTCCTGGCGGGCTCCGCCGGGACAAGAAACTGGCGGGGGGGGGGGGGGCCGATTCGGCCCCCCCTGAGATCTCGAGAACGAAGGAAGATAGCGACAAGCAGTAAACGGCATCGGATACGCACGGCCAAGATCTACAATTTTTACCAAGGTCATTTTCAGGTCAGGTCAAAGATGACGTCACAGGGGTCGAAAAAGTCAAAATGGCGGCACTAGATATGGAGAGAGTTTTTCTCGAATAACTTTCGAATTAGTCAAGATAGGAACAAACTAAGGGCATCATCGTGATCCTCTCGTCAATCCGCATCGAATGATATATATGTTGACCTCGAAAGGTCAAGGTCAAAGGTTGACCTCAGGTCACGTGACCTCGAGGTCATCATGTATATCATTCGATGCGTCTTGACGAGCTGAACACAATGAGACCATCCACGCGTCTGTATCTTGTTCCTGTACGGAGTTATTGGCCAAAAACCTTTGGTGACCTTTGATGACGTCACATGACCTCACAGCTGCCCAACAGCAAAACAGACCTCAAGGTAGTGAAGGTTGATCGTATATGAAGTCATGTATGGTATATTGGGCCATTCCGACCCGTTTTAGTGGTAAAAACAGGGAGTTGATTTTTCCCCCATTGACTTATAATGGGGAGGTCGCGAAATTGACCTGACCTTAGGTCACCGATATCAAAATTCCGAGATAAACAAATTGCACATACTGGTACCCTAACTAAACCCTGAAGAGAAGAAATTGATCGGTCAAAAACTCTAGCTCTGGCGTGATTGCAAACTTTTCTGAGGTAGCGTCACCAAACCGCCTCTGGTGACCTGACCTGAGGTCAGATCAACTCAAAATTTTCAGACATGTTGCGTAGAAGCCTTTTAGGAAAAGTCAGAAAATTTGAGCTTCCTAGCTCAACGCGTTTGGGAGATATAACCAAAAAACCTCAGGGGGGGGGGGGCTCCTAGGAGGCCCCCCCCCGCCAGGAATAGGGTTAAGGGATTGAGCTTACTTTGCGTGCATCATGACATCTAAATATATGAATCACGATTAACCCGCGCCCCGCTGGGGGGGGGCAGAATCTGCCCCCCCTCCCGTTTTTCGCCAATAACTTCTAAACGCGTTACGCCAGCGACGTCAAACTTTCAGTACCTTATCATACATCAATTTGACACGTTCCCTGAAAATTTGAGCGAAATCCGTCGGAAAATGTTTGAGAAAATGACGTTTTAGTGACGTCATGTTCGCCATTTTCGCCTAAAAAATGGGAAAATTTCAAACGCCGCTAACATCTTCATTTTTAAAGGAATCAAGACGTAACAAAAAAGGTTATACGTCATTCTACTTTGTCTATTAAATGGCTATCTCGTTTTTTTGAAAATTTTTGATTTTGGCCCAAATTTTTTCAAAAAACTGACTTTTTTGGGAAAATATTTATAAAATCCAAAATTTTGAGTGTATCGAAAAAACCGGAATATATGTCAAAGAAGTGGTCTATATGCACCTACATACCAATTTTTAGAAGAATCGGTTCAAAAATGTGGAAGTTATTCAAATTTTTATGACGTCACGACACACAAAAATTTTGAAAAATGATTTTTTGGAAGTTCTAGACCTCGTACGGAAACAAAAATAGCACCATTCGATTCGCCGTGAAAAACTGCATCAGATAGACACCTTTTTGGGCCTTAACAACCAACTTCAAAATTTGACCTCACTTGACCTGACCTTGACCTGACCTCGACCTGAAATTCATCCAGAGGTAGTCCATATCACTTATTGAGTGTGCCTATTGAATTCTATGAGTAAAATGACCCATAAAACATGTGTCGCACATGCCCTTTTCTATATTTTGTTTTTCGGTGACCTGACATGACCTGACCTGACCTTGACCTTGACCTTTGAATGCCATTGTATGCAACGAATATTGTCTTGGTAGTCTAAGAACACGTTTTGGGCAATCAGTCTCAGTCCATTCTTCGGCAACTACGGTGCACGGCCGATACTGTAGAAACTTGCACCTTGTACCCTTGACCTGACCTTGACCTGACCTCTGACCTACTTAAGCAAAAAAATTTGGGCTCTTAAGATCCGCCTTGTTGAGAGCTTTCGATTGCCGTTTTCCCCGTCTTTCTACGACCATCGGTTCGGAAGTTAGACAGGGGGGGCAGAATCTGCCCCCCCCCCCCCCCCAGCAGGGCGCGTATGGCTGAATAGCCCAGCGGGGCGCGGGTTAAGTATTGTCAACAGGTTCGGCCGCAACAGCAGGCATCTGGAGTTTCGGTGATTGAAACTGGTTGTGTAGGTACTCAACAATGTATTGTATGCATCTGTGAGAAGGCCATGAGGGCTGGTCTGAGGTAATTTGGATGAGAAGCCCGAGGAGGCTAATCTATCTCATGAGGAACAGTCCTGTTATGGTTTACGAGTATCTTTCTGTTGCTGCTGCCTTCTCGTTGTGCGCTTGTCCTTGTTTTTACGCATCTCGCGATCCGGTGTCAATCCGATACGGTGATCTGATGTGTATCTGATGTCTACATTGTCACCCATGGGCGAAGCTTCCTATACAGTTTTTGTGGCAGCGGCCCCACCGAACCTTTTAGATATTTTTACACCTTCAAATTTGGTAAAAGAGCGAGAGGAGCTTTGAACAGTGAGCATATAAAAGATGTGCCTAAAAGCGGAGGAAAAGATTGTTTTAAAAATTTCGCGCGCCTTCGGCGCAGCATTTCAAGAACACTTCCTTAGTAGGAACTTAGTACCTATGCCAATCACTTGCAACCTTTTTGTCACGTGTGAGATTTACCCGCGCCAGGACGTCTCTTCAGATATGCGGTTAAAAAAATCCGAAAAATGTGCCACTACGAGCTTCTGTTTTTTTTTCTTGCGGGGGATGGAAGGGGGTGAGCGGGAGGGGCAAACCTTTTGGTGCATTGCTCTTACACGTGCTCTAAAAAATGCAAACCATAGTCGCTAAAAGCAAGGTCACCAGGTCATGTCAAGTGACCTAACTTTAGAAGGAGCTCTAAGCATAGTCACTTAACCCTATTCCTGGCGGGCTCCGCCGGGACAAGAAACTGGCGGGGGGGGGCCGATTCGGCCCCCCCCTGAGATCTCGAGAACGAAGCAAGATAGCGACAAGCGGTAAACGGCATCGGATACGCACGGCCAAGATCTACAATTTTTACTAAGGTCATTTTCAGGTCAGGTCAAAGATGACGTCACAGGGGTCGAAAAAGTCAAAATGGCGGCGCTAGATATGGAGACAGTTTTTCTCGAATAACTTTCGAATTAGTCAAGATAGGAACAAACTAAGGGCATCATCGTGATCCTCTCGTCAATCCGCATCGAATGATATATATGTTGACCTCGAAAGGTCAAGGTCAAAGGTTGACCTCAGGTCACGTGACCTCGAGGTCATCATGTATATCATTCGATGTGTCTTGACGAGCTGAACACAATGAGACCATCCACGCGTCTATATCTTGTTCCTGTACGGAGTTATTGGCCAAAAACCTTTGGTGACCTTTGATGACGTCACATGACCTCACAGCTGCCCAACAGCAAAACAGACCTCAAGGTAGTGAAGGTTGATCGTATATGAAGTCATGTATGGTATATGGGGCCATTCCGACCCGTTTTAGTGGTAAAAACAGGGAGTTGATTTTTCCCCCATTGACTTATAATGGGGAGGTCGCGAAATTGACCTGACCTTAGGTCACCGATATCAAAATTCCGAGATATACAAATTGCACATACTGGTACCCTAACTAAACCCTGAAGAGAAGAAATTGATCGGTCAAAAACTCTAGCTCTGGTGTGATTGCAAACTTTTCTGAGGTAGGGTCACCAAACCGCCTCTGGTGACCTGACCTGAGGTCAGATCAACTCAAAATTTTCAGACATGTTGCGTAGAAGCCTTTTAGGAAAAGTCAGAAAATTTGAGCTTCCTAGCTCAACGCGTTTGGGAGAAATAACCAAAAAACCTCAGGGGGGGGGGGCTCCTGAGGCCCCCCCCGCCAGGAATAGGGTTAAGCTGAGCTGGTGACTTGACCTTTTGTGACCTGGAGTAAAAACAAAAATACACGATGCGAAATCAATGCAGCATAATCTTTACCAAGTTACGCAAAAAAAAAACTGGTGGCGTGGTAAAAAAAAACGCCTCACCCCCGTCAGCGATCGTTAAGGATTTTTATCTCGCGACCGTATGGCGCCCTCCTTAAATGAGGTGGCGCCCTCCAAATCCTTGCCCCCCCCGCCCTTCGCGATTTCCTAAATACGCCGCTGCTGCACCTAATCTCTTTTACAGCGAATATCGTTATTTTATAAATTTATTTCAGTGTTTTAATCGATGATACCTACTCTCTGATAATATGACAAAGCAGGCTTATAAGCAATTAGTGCAACCCTAGCTGATAGCTACTAAGAGACACACTGAACCTAATTTGACCAAATCTGCACCTAATCTGCACCAGATGTGCACCAAATGTGTACCAGATGGCCGTCGTGAAAACGGCTTATATCTATTGCCTTCATACGCGAGGGAACCGGATGGGCACTGGGGACAGCTTGCCCGCCTCCCAACTTTGGGGCCGTGGGAGCGGTGCCCCGACAACTTTTCATAGGCCCAGGAACCGTTGGGGGGCAGTGTGGGTAGCTTGTTTTCCCCAGGCTAGGGATCGTAGAGCAAAGGTCATTTTTGTAATTAAATGGTGAACAAAACATTTTTTGAAAATCCAAGATAGCCATTTTGAAGAACTAATGCTGGTAAGTATGCCCTTTCACGTTTTTAATTTGCATTTCGCTTGAAACTAGATTGTCTTTTTTGAGGTAGTCATGAAACTTTACGTCATGAAAACATCCAAACATCCAACATCATGGGAACTTAAAGGGACCCTCCCACCTTCAAAAAAGTTAATGAATTGGCATGAAAGTGATGTCCCTTGGTTCAAAAAGAGCGAAAACGAATATCTACCAAATTTCACCGAAAAATATTCACTGGTTTTCAAGATATTAGGCTTTTACTTTTGCTTACTTTTTTGGATCTCCCCTGTTACTAGCGACTTTATTTGGAAGCAATAATTTGGCAGCCTTAAGGTGCGGCAGACGTTGCGCGCAAAGCAGCGTATACCACCACGTGTTAACGATGGTTTTAGTCTAAGATTTAAAAACCGTTAGATCTCCGCTGACGTCACAAATTCTAAGGGGGCATTCCAATACATTAGCCCCTTAGAATCCGAAAACTGCAAGTTTGAAATTCCATATCTTCGAATTAAAGCATTTTTCGATGTTGTGAGTGCCCAAACCGGTATTTGCAGGTCATGGCCACCAATTTGGCTATCTCAACTCAAAACTAATGTTAACCCTCGCCCTGGCAGGCCATTTTTCATAACACGGCCTGGCAGGGGGGGGGGGGGGGTCGATGCGACCCCCCCCTCGCGATTGGCTCCTATGGCACATAGAAACACCAAATTTGGTAGGTAGGTGGGCCCCCTGGAGTTCTCCCCCCTGTGCAAATTTGGTTGCTCTAGGTCAATATTTAGGGGGGTTTTGGGGGGTATAAATGTAAAAATTTCGCGAAAAACAGGTCAAAAGTTTTTCCCTTATATTATGCCGGTATGCCGCTATGCCGCTTATATCGCTTATATTATTATTTCGCGCGTCGAATGATATACTTTTTAGCTTGCTTAAGTGAACTTAAAGTTTTTCTTAAATTTTAAGTAAACTTAAATTTATAAATTAAGTTCAAGTTAACCAAATTGCATCATATCGCATATCATTCGATTCGGCTGATCACCAGGAACACAATGATACCATTTTTAAGCTCTAGCGTCATTATGTGCCAAGTTATTGGCAAAAACGTCATTTGACCTCAGTTGACCTCATTTGACCTGACCCATGGATAAGTACACCAAACAAAGAAGCACAAAGTGACCTGCTGTTAAGTACTGTGGTTTCAAAGCACAAAAGTGATAGAACGAAGCGAATATCTCCAGTATTTTCCGAATTTAGTATTTTCCCATAGGCTTAACATTACGACGTAATGACCTCTAACTGACCTCAGGTCAGTGACCTAAAAAAACCCGAACTATATGTTATACACCTCGGTGAACTTAGCACATCCTGAAAGTTTGAAGGAAATCAGTGCAAAACTGTGAGTTGGACAGGTGGAAAAAGAAAATTGAAATTTGACCATGACCTTGTACCGGTTTTTCTGACCTGGTGACCTGACCCAAGGTCACCCGGACCTGAAATTTTCAGGTCATATGTAAAAAGGTTGCCCCATAGGCTGTGCCAAATTTGGCGGCGCTGCGCGCCGCCGTTTTTACGCTATCTTCGAAAAACCTTAGGGGGGGTCGCATCGAACCCCCCTGCCAGGGCGAGGGTTAAGGTGGGAGTGTCCCTTTAAATGTGAGAGCGGTGCATACTGACACGATGAACAAAAATATTCGCTTTAGAGTTCAGCATTCGGATCGCGTGGTTATGAATATCTATGAAAGTCATATCAGGTAATCAAGTTTTTATTTCTACCAAAATCGTAAGCATGCTTGTTACCTTAGCTGCATAAAGAGCTGTAAACCTACCTGTGTGCGGCATGGCTACGGCAGTTCTCCACTGCAGCAGGCAGCGTCGAAATCCGACCCGTGTCCGCACAAAACTCCGCTCCCCATTCCCGGCGGAACTCCCACGGTGTTTTCTGCGCCGCCCCCTGTCTTCGCCAATCGCCGCCAGGCTCTCACGGTCCGACCAATCAGCGCGCGAGCCGCGGCGGCCCATCAGCCAATCAACGGCCGGCGGCGGAGCGTCCAATGGCCGGCGCCGGCCGCTGCTGCGCCGACCAAATGGCCCGATCGCGTTACGTTTAGGCCGAACCCGGTTCCGCCAGCCGGCGCTATCGCTGATATCACCCCTGAATCTGCCACTGATTCCAGCCGATGTCCGCTGATTTCGGTCGATTTTGGCCGATTTCGGCCGCGCCGTGCGCCGCAGGTAATAGGCGAGCGGCGCGATCGCCGCTCGGTCGTAGGGGAGAGTGGGGAGAGTTGTATCATGTCCGAGTTGTATCAGGGCGAATTGTGCCAAACTTATCCAACAGATGGCGCTCGTGACACGACCAGCTGACGAGGTTTTCCGGGCGCCATCTTTCCATGTTGTGACGTGAGGCCGGCTGGACGCGTCTCGAGGTGAGAGCCGATTTTATGTTTTTTTAATGTCATTCTAAAAAAATAGGTTGCAAGAAAATGTGTGTTTTGGGCATTTAGATGTGCACGAATTTGAAAGATCTCCGTAGCGGTGGTGAGGGTAGGTTGTGAGGCTGCGTGAGTGAAAATGGATTTCTCCAGCTGTCCGCTGTTTTTGAGCACGAGGATGTTTTTTCCAAGATGGCGGCGATGTACATGTTGTATCAGAGCCGGGTGGGGTATGTTGTAACAGTGATACAACTCACCCCAATATGATACAACTCACCCCAATATAGGCTACCGCTGAACATCAGTAGCCTATCCATTGTTTTGTCATATGCATTGTGTACGTACCTATAGGCATCTAGGTATGTATAATAGGCCTGGAAATTGTGCGATCATCTGGGCGGACAGTAGGTACTGTTGACCGCTCCGCCGCCTGTCCCGACACCCCCCCCCCCTCCCGACTACGACCACCACCTCCCCTTTCGATGTCCAGGCAATCCATTCTATTCTTAATACCTACCTAGCACCTACAATCATGCACCTAACCATTTTCAGCGAATCATTTAGTCAGTGCATAACATACCTAACTAGCTGTATCTTTGCCCTTGTTTTCAGTTTGAGAAGCCGAAATGCCGCGGAACTACACCCGGAAATCAGACAGGCGCAAGAACAGCCCCAAAGATGTCCTTCTGCGGGCTTGCAACGCAGTTATGAATGATGGAGCTTCTATCCGCAGCGCAGCAAAGGACTACGGAGTAAACTACCAAACTCTGAACCGGTTCGTAAGGAAAAAGAAGGAAGGTATGGATCCGAACATGGGGTACCAAAACTCAGGATCGAGAGTGTTTACGGATGAACAGGAAGAACTGTTGTTAGCGTATATTAAAGAATCGGCAGATGTTTTCTTCGGGCTAACGCCAAAAGAAGTTAGAGTTTTCGCATACGAATGTGCGATGCGCCACGACATCACTGTGCCGGAGTCATGGACCAAGAACAAGATGGCTGGGGAAGAATGGTTCAGATCCTTCCGAAAGAGACGGCGACTGTCCATTCGAGTACCGGAAGCCACAAGCTTGGGCCGAGCGAGCGGTTTCAATAGGTCGAACGTGGGCGAGTTTTTCAAGAAGCTCGGAGAGGTGATGGACAAGTACAAATTTGACGGAGGTGATATATGGAATGTCGATGAAACAGGCTTGACAACAGTGCAAAAACCCCCACAAGTGGTGGCGCCAAAGGGAACCAGGCAAGTGGGCTCGATGACGTCAGCGGAAAGGGGGGAATTGGTAACCATCTGTGCAGCCGTCAACGCCTACGGCAACAAAGTTCCTCCCATGATGATCTTCCCCAGAGCGCGATACAAGGACTACTTCGTGAGGGATGGTCCGCCAGGATGTCTTGGGGCATCATATCCGTCAGGATGGATGACGGCTGAGAATTTCAAGGCCTTCCTGGAGCACTTCGTTAAGCATACGAAGTGCTCTCCCGAGCGACCTACGCTCCTACTACTTGACAATCATGAGAGTCATCTGGCGATCGAGGGAGTGCAGTTCGCCAAGGATAACGGCATTGTGATGCTCTCATTTCCTCCTCACTGCAGCCATCAGCTACAGCCGCTGGACCGAAGCGTATTTGGTCCCCTGAAGGCCTACGCAGCATCAGCGCAGTCCAACTGGCTTCGGAACAACCGCGGCCGGACGATGACTGTCCACGACCTCCCGGGAATACTGAGGGAGATATGGCCCCTGGCGTGCACGGAGAAGAACATAGCCAGTGGGTTCCAGGTCGCAGGCATCGTGCCATACAACCCTGACGTGTTCACTAGGGTTGTTCAGAAAAACCGAATTTTGGAAAAGTATATGGGCTCATGGCTCATGTGGTGCGGTATTCTTTTCTGAGTCCAATGATACCCTTTTTTCCGAAAAGTATTACTGCTAGGCGCTGCTCAAACGGCTTAAAGAGGACCATGTTACGCCCGCCGACCGGCCGGTGTCAATAAGGGCGAGAATTCGACGCCGCACGGCGGCGGCAGCGCCTTATCGGCACCGCGCGCCACGACATCTGCCGGGCGGCCGGCTGGGCGATGGGAAGTTATAAGTGCGTGGTCTTATTGCACACGATCGGGGTGAGCTATCCCATGTTTTCGGGGCGGAAAGTTTCAGTGCAGCATCGGTGCGTCTGCCACGGTGGTCTATGTCGATGGTATAGAAAATAACTCAAGCAGAGCTCAGAAAAGAATGAATGATTCCGGGTAGTTGCCTCGAAATAATCCGTTTCAAGAATACAGCTGCCTTCTTAACGTACTGTATCACTTGTTAATTCTTCAAAAAGCAAGCTCTGAGCAATAACAGACTTCTTTGCATTGCTGTTGACAATTTAAGTTGTTTTTGGACGGTGGCTCGCAGCCCCAATATGCTGCCGCGTAACTCTATTCCAACGACGAAACGGCAACTTAGCGAGAATCGAAAATTTAACGAAGTAGGTACAACAGGAGCTGGCAAGGCTCCTGCATTGGTCTATCCGTCATGAGTGACACACCGGGGTAATGTGTCACGTCAGGGCAGAGCTGTGTTCTATGCCGGGTCTGGATTCGGGTCTTGATCGGCATCGGTGGGCACGGCCGCCCTGGCCGGACTGCCGGCGTCGCTTATGCTCGAAGGATTGGATAAACGGCGCTTGATTTATATGAGTAGGTACTCCGGCTAATGTCTCTACTCATGTCTCACTTCGTCACACTGTCAGGGTGGCCACTCTGTCATTCCCAGACATGTTATGTTTTCTTTCGACCCGCTAATCTAAGTTACACCTGGCGTCGATTCTGTTGCCCCAGCATCTGACATCAACGTATCTGAATAACCAGTATAGCGCCTTATGGGGCGACTAACGGAGCGAGCGAGAGGGTGAGCCTTGCACGTGCGAAATTTCGAGGGGGTACCTCCAACTGACTTGTGCACGGCACCCTACTAACCGGTCTCTAGCGATGTGCCAAATTTGAGCACAATCGGCCCAGCCGTTCTCGAGATCTGGAAGCGGCACCCTGCACGTGCGCACGTGCAAAATGGGTCCCAACTGAATTATGCACGGCACCCTACTAACTGGTCCCTAATCGTGTACCAAATTTGAGCGCCATCGGTCCAGCCGTTCTCGAGATCTGGAAACGACCCCTGCACGTGCGCACGTGCAGCAGCACCCCAACTCTGGCACATGGATATGCAGTGCCTAGTGGGTGCCTATCTACATGCCAACTTTCAGCGCAATCGGCCAAGTAGTTACCGAGATATTGCAACAATTACAAAACTGACACCTCTTCGTTTTGCACGTGGCACGTGCATAAGGGGTCACCCACATGCATCGGGAATAGTCCAATACTTGGTAGAAGGAATGAAGCTACCCTACAAAATTTACCGCATGTAAATCGGTCAAGTGGTTGCTGAGATATAAGCCTCGCAAAAGCGTCCGCACGGCCGGCCGGCCGGCCGGCCGGCCGGCCGGCCGGCCGCTCATACTCAGAAATTTCCGTTAATCTAAGGAAAGACTCCGCTCGCTTCGCTCGCTCCGTAATGACATTGGTGACGCATATGCTCGTCAAAGCCACCCCCAAACTTGGGCCGATGACTGTCGGGTCTCCTCCATATTCTGTCCTTGTGCATACTGCATTGCCAGCCCCTGCTGTACGTATATCGTGAATTTTCGATTCTCGCGAAGTTGCCGTTTCGCCGTTGGAATAAAGTTGCGCGGCAGCATATTGGGGTGCGAGCCACCGTCAAAAACTAACGTAGATTGTCAACAGCAATGCAAAGAGGTGTGTTATTGCTCAGAGTTTGCTTTTTGAAGAATTAACAAGTGATACGGTACGTTAAGAAGGCAGCTGTATTCTTGAAACGGATTATTTCGAGGCAACTACCCGGAATCATTCATTCTTTCCTGAAGTCTGCTTGAGTTATTTTCTATACCATCGACACAGACCACCGTGGCAGACGCACCGATGCTGCACTGAAACTTTCCACCCCGAAAACATGGGATAGCTCACCCCGATCGTGTGCAATAAGACCACGCACTTATAACTTCCCACCGCCCAGCCGGCCGCCCGGCAGATGTCGTGGCGCGCGGTGCCGATAAGGCGCTGCCGCCGCCGTGCGGCGTCGAATTCTCGCCATTATTGACACCGGCCGGTCGGCGGGCGTAACATGGTCCTCTTTAAGCCGTTTGAGGAGCCTCTAACAGTTAATACTTTTCAGTAAAAAGGGCATCATTGGTCTCAGAAAAGAATACCGCACCACATGAGCCATGAGCCCATATACTTTTCCAAAATTCGGTTTTTTTGAACAACCCTAGTGTTCACTGATGTCGACTTCAGTCCGTCTCTGGTGACCGACCGCCCACAGCAGCAGCAGCAGCCGGACCCTGGCTCCACACCGCTGCAGCAGCCGGGCCCGAGCTCCACAGCGCTGCAGCAG